CAAGACTATGATCCCAAGCTTTCTAACCCTGTAAACAAATCCTGCAAGATGTTTGCCGTATGTTTTGGGAGAGTCTGTAATTATGTCCTTTCTGTGGTGTATTATTTGTGTAGCTACATGAGGGAACTTCATAAAGTTTGTGGAAAAATGGAATTAAAAGATACCGGAAATTTCCCACCAACTTTTTGAAGGCCTTTTGGCAGCACATACCCCAAAATAAGTAAATTAATTAATGAATTAAAAAAATATATATATATGCCTATAGATATCCCTATATGTACACATGTATTTACTCACATATGCCTTTCTTTATATATATATATATATATATATATATATATATGCATTAATGATGTGCTATGGGATAATACACTGGACCACAAGATTGGTGTGAACCTCAAGGTTGGTGAGTCAGACTCACCAGCTGCCCCTTGGAACCCCTATACAAGATCACTGTGAGTCAGAACCAACTCCATGGCATATAACAACAATAACAACGTAACCATACACATGTTTTTTCATTACCTTTACTACTGTAAATTGTATATGTCAAACCTATTCCGTAATGAAGATTCAGTCTTTGTGGTTTCCTCTTTGTTCTTTTTGTAAGCAGCATAAAGTAATCATAGTCATATATAGAATCCTAGACTATTAGAGGGGCTTTTGAGCTCACCAGTTCTAACGTTTTAGTTTTCTGATACCTGACAACCCTTGAAGACCACGGATTGATTGTCCAAAGAGCCCAGTTTGGAACTTGTGTTTTCTGGCTCCCATTGTTGGCTCTCCAATGCAGTAAGTCATGTGGTTTTAGAGTCATAAAGTCTTTGTTTTGTTCCTTGGTGGTATAACCTTGGTCAGGTTTCTTAAACTTCAGAAGTCTCCTTTTCCTCATAATATGGGGATAGTAAATGTACCTTACATCTTGGTTGTAGGGATTATAACTAATGCAGATAAAGCAGCTCATACAAGGCCTGCTATGGAGGACACCCTAAGACAATTATCCAGATCCAAAAACCATCTCATTCTCTTCGAGTCCATTTTGATTCAGTGACCCTATGGCACAGGGTTTCCAAGGCTGTAAATCTTTACAGAAGCTGTCTGCCACATCTTTCTCCCTCAGAGCAATTGGTGGAGTCAGGCTTCTGACCTTTTGTTTAGCAGCCAAGCATTTAACATTGTGCCACCAGTGTGTCCTTAAGACAGTTATGTTGTTGTTAAGTGCTGTGGAGTCATTTCCAACTCATAGCTACCCTGTGTAGAGTTTCCAAGGAGCGGCTGATGAGTTTGAACCACCGACCTTTTGGTTCAAATGGACCTTGCAGTCTAGTACTTTATTCCACAGCACCATACCAAGGTTCTTAATATTTCCATCTTGGGACTTATCTTATAAAGCAAAAGAGCTACATTGGTTCAAAATATTGAATCTACACCAATTGAATATTGATGTCCGTATGATACTTTTATTCATTCTAGGAGCATGCACAGTGATTTTGTTAAGTACTCTTTGTTGTTGTTGAGTGCTGTCGAGTCGATTCCGACCCGAAGTGACCCTGTATAGGGTTTTCGAGTAGCTGGTGAGTTTGAACTGCCGACCTTGCACTTCAGACGGCTTTGCAGTCTGGTGCATTAACCCACAGTGCCTTAGGTTATATTATTTGTGCTAATATAAATTATTTAATATGCTGTAAGTATTAGATTGGAGTCCTGGTGTGGTGCTGTGGGTTAATGTGCCAGACTTCAAAGTCCTTTGAACTGCAAGGTCGGCGCTTCAGGCTCATCAGATGCTCCTCGGAAACCCTATACAGGGTTTCTATGGGTCGTAACCAACTCAACGGCACTTAACAACAACAAGTATTAGATAGGAGTCTAATCTAAGTATAGGAGTCTGGGTGTGGTGCTTCGGGTTAATGCTCTGGACTGCAAAATTGTTTTGAGCCGCAAGGTCAGCAGTTCAAGTTCACCAGCTGCTCCCCAGAAATCCTGTACAGGGCCACTGTGAGTCGGACCTGACTCAATGGCATTTAACAATAACAAGTATTAGATAATTTATAGGTGTATTTGCTAAATTAATCCCTATACGCTAATGTATTAACAATTTTAACCCCAATAAAAAGAGGAAGAAGTTAATTTGTTAAAATACAACAGAAATCTCCTCACAAAGAAGCTATGTAGCTAGTCTCTTTTTATGTAAGTATATTTTAGGTTGGTGGCACTAGTTTGTGTAGCAGTGAATATTTTGTACTTTTCCATATTGATGCAAGCCACCCACTTGTCTTGTAAACAAGCCTCCTCTCTGATGGAAAGTAGGGTTTTCAGTTGTTTTGTTTTTGATTTTCTCTTTAGGGGGAAAAAACTATTTTGGGGGAAAATTTTTTGTTTTTTCTTTTGAAGTATTTCTTAGGATTTAGTTCCCAAGGTGAGATGAAGGACTCCAGATTTAAACAGTTTATTATGGCTTTTTGTACTTTGAGTTGGACTAAATGTAAATTCTGGGTTCTGAAGCAAGTCTTTTTTTTAAAGTTTTTATTGTGAACAGAATGATAGTTTATATCAACTTTATACCACCATTTCATTGCTATGATTAAATCTCCTCAGTGCATTATCATTCAGCAGTATCTGCTTCCATTCCCTCTGGTTTTTTTTTTTTTTGGGGGGGGGAGGGATGTATACAAAAACACGCAGGAATATATAATAATTAAAACACCCAAAGGCCACATTCTGCAAGCCTGAAGCAGGTCTTCTTAAAAGCATTGTTCTGTCAGCTGGGGAGTTCTGTTACCTGCTGTATTTTTTGTTCTTCCCATGTCTGTGCTGCTATGTTAGTGGATATTCCTACTGATTATTTTGAGGCATGTAAATCTTCAGTTAATCTAAATATGAAAGGAAAATTTACTTCGGTACTATTTTCCAATTTTTAAAAAGTTGGTCATCTGTATTCATGTTGTTCTTGTGTTGTTGAATGCATCAGTTAGTTCTGACTTATAGCCCCCCAGTATGGGATTTCCGAGGAGTGGATGATGGCTTGAACTACTGACCTTGCAGTTAGCAGTCCAGTGCTTATCCTACAGTGCCATATTGTATTTGTAAGAATAAACTAATGGTCTGTATAACAAACTGTATCTACACCTTTGCAGATAGTAAATAGTAAATACCTATCCTTTGCAGGCCATACAGTCTGTCAGAGTTACTCAGTTCTGCCCTTGCAGTGAATGGACAGGACTCTGTTCCAGTAAACTTTACTTACCAAGACAAGTGGAGGGCTAGATTTGGTCCTTAGACTGTAGTTTGCTGAGCCGTGGTCTATAGCATCTGGACCCACAGGTTGAAGCTTGATGTATAGAATGGTCCATGGTGGTGGTGGTGATATGCCATGGAGTTGACTCATAGCGACCCTGTATAGGGTTTCTGAGGCTGTAAATCTTTATGGGAGCAGAAAGCTTCATCTTTCTCCACGGAACTGTTGGTAGTTTCAAACTGCTGACCTTGATGTTAGCAGCCCAACTCGTAACCACTACTACAGAGCTCCTTAGAATGGTCCATAGGCTATAGGAAAGAACCAAGTATTATATTATGAATTTAGTGTGAGAGAATTCTGCTCTGGTTTACAAAGGATTATAGTGTATGTTCTTGCCCACTGTGATGCTTGACTACCACAGCAAAGCCACTGGCCTGCCATGTACTCCCCTGGTTCTTATGCTGTGTGTGGGCTCTGGAAGGACATGACTGACATCAGTACCAGGCAGGTTTCAGAAAGTCATTCTGACACCCTAGGAACCCTCATGGAGTTTTCTGCAGCAACAGCCCTGTCTGGGCCATTGGTTGACAGCTCAGTATCTCTGGACCTTGTTGGTCAGGCATTGGCACTTCTTAAGGGGAAGGAAAAAGAAGCTTCTAGAGAAAGCAGGAGTACAGCAGAGTCAATTTCATAGCCTTTCATGGTTTTACATGGTTTCTGTTGTGGGTTAAAAATGGGAATTGTGCTGATCAGAGACAGGAAAAGGAAGTAATAAACATCTGACTCACTAGAAGCACTGCTACTCTGCCTCCTCCAAAGGAAAGCTGTATGCCTCTCCTGGCTTGTCAACAGGACAATCCTGTGAATGATCATTCCCTGAGCCCAGCTTTGACATGCTCTTTGCTTCCCACTTAATTTATGTGAGCAAAGCCTCTGTCCTCCCTCTAGGAATGAGTGAGTTTTTTGTCAATGACATGACTCCTCTACACTAACTGTTATAAATCTCCACCAGAAAGGTCCCTGATTTCAAAGCTTTAGAGCAACAAATTTCTGTAATTCAAAGTTATGTCCTTTAGGAACATGGAAGATTGTAGTACAGTTAATTAAACCTTATAGCAAGCCCCACCTTTGATTTTGTGTTTTAGTATAGCAGCTTTTACAAACTTTGTTATTCTCCAAGTGGAACTTTAAGCACTGGTATCAAAGAGATGGAATGAATTATTCATTTTTGTTCCTAGTTTTCTTTTTGGAAATATGCCGTCCTGTTGAATGTTAGTAGAGCAAATATCTCTTATCTAACCATCATTATTTCCCTTCCTGAATGAGAGACAGCTCCTTCCTATAAGAACTGCCTAATGGTTTGAGACTTTACCAAACATTGGGCTGCTAACCACAAAGTCAGTGGTTCAGATCCATCAGTCCTGCTGTAGGAGAGAGAGCCGGCTGTCTCATCCAGTAAAGATTTACAGTCTCAAATCCTTTGGAGCAGTTCTACTCTGTCATATAGGGTCACTATGAGTCAGAATCTACTCAATGGCGGTGGGTTTTATGTTGGACACATGCTGTTTATGCTTGATATATGCTGTCTTGGATTTGGTTTGGACATCCACTAGCATTGAACTGACTTAAGTAGACAACAGTATAGTTTTAATCCACTTCTTATGATGTGTGAATTTTGATATTGTGATAGGTTGGAAGACACTCATTCTTCATCTACCCTTTTTTCAGTATCTGGCACCAATTCTCGCCCAGTCATTTGTGATCCATGGCTCTTGTGATATTCCGAAGATTTCCAGGCAGTTTCTGTGGAACACCTCCCCGACCAGCTCTAATCACGTACCACATCAAGAAACTGCCTGATCAAACCTATGAAGACTCTGTTCTGACTGCCAACAAAATCAGTACTTACGCCAGAATGGCAACCACTCTGAAGCTGTTAAAACCTTTAGGATATCAAGTGTTTTGTGGTCCGGTTGCCTACAGTGCCATCCAAAGAGTGGCTTATTGGAATGTTGGAAGCAGCACACGGCCTGGGGGACAAGACTCTGCCAAACAGGTTGAGAATGTTTGTATGATCTCTTCTCGGAAGATCTTGACAACCAGTAATGCCTGCCTGGGTTTGGAATTCAGCAAGGCTTCTACCTCTAAGGCTGGCACGTTGCAGCCAGACTCACCAAGTACCATGAGTGTTGAAGAGGATGATGTAGAAGTCTTTGATTCCTTTGAAGACCCTCGAACTTTCCTGCAGCTGAGACCAGAGTACCAGCTTCACAGCTATAACAAATCTGAGACTCGTCAACCCCTATCTGTTTCAGAAGGTGAACTAATTTTGCACAAAATCACAGTTTCCCAAAATGATCTCCAGCCCCAGCTTATTGCTGATTATTTCTGCAAGCTGAGCTCATTGCCTGCAGAGCAACATCCTGTTTTGCTGTCCAGTACTAGCTTTACTTTGCTCTACCAGCTAAGTGTAAAAAACATACAGCACTTTAATACTCCACAGCTGATCAGGATTTTGAAGGCCTTTGTCAATTTAGGAATCCCTCATTCCCATCCAATGCTAGATGTGTATGAAACCAGATTTTGCCATCAAGTATGGGAAATGAGCCTGGATCAGCTGCTCTTAGTGGCTGACCTCTGGCGAAACGTGGGCCGCAGAGTACCTCGGTTTTTAAAAATCTTTTTTAGTTATCTTAATTTTCACTGGAAAGATCTCTCCTTATCACAATTGATCCACTTAATATACATCATAGGGGAAAGTCGACAAGTCCCCCAGGACCTGATGCAAAAACTGGAATCATTGATCCTCAGGTACATAGACTTAATCAATTTAGAGGAAGTTGGTACAATCTGCCTGGGGTTCTTTAAATCAAATAGTAGCTTTTCTGAATTTGTCATGCGGAAAATCGGAGACTTGGCCTGTGCTGACATGCACCATCTGAGTAATTACGCCTTAGTAAATATTCTTAAAATGTTCCGCTTTACACATGTGGATCACATGCATTTCATGAAGCAGTTTGGACAGATTGCTCCTCAGCGAGTTCCTTCCATGGGAGTTCAGGGTGTCATGCATCTGACTCTGGCTTGCTCAGCCTTACGTGTACTGGATGAAGGGGTGATGAATGCTGTGGCTGCTTCTTTGCCTTCTAGAGTAGCATACTGTCGAAGTAAAGATGTTGCTAAGATTTTGTGGTCATTTGGAACTCTGAATTATAAGCCTCCCAACACAGAAGACTTTTATTCCTGCCTGATAAATGAGATTCACAGGAAGATGCATGAGTTTAACCAATACCCAGAACACCTGTTCACCTGCCTTCTGGGCCTGGCGTTTTCTGAATACTTTCCAGTGGAGCTCATCAGTTTTGCTCTAAGTCCAGGGTTTGTCAGGTTAGCTCAGGAGAGAAGTAAGTTTGAACTCACTAAGGAGCTGTATACTTTGGATGGTACAGTTGGTATTGAGTGTCCAGATTACAGAGGCAATCGTCTAAATTCTCACCTTCAGCAAGAGGGATCTGAATTGCTGTGGAATTTAGCAAGGAGAGATATGTGTTCAAAGCCTGAATTCCTAGAAGCTCTCTTTTTACTTGAGACTGTGTTGGGTGGGCCCCAGTACATTAAACACCATATGATTTTGCCTCATACCCGATCTTCTGACTTAGAGGTCCAGCTTGATGTCAACATGAAACCATTGCCATTCAACAAGGAAGCCACATCAAGTCAAGATGTAGCAAAATTAAGGCTTAAGCATGTGGGAGTCACCCTTACAGACAATTTGATGAACCAGCTTCTAAAAGGGAAATCAAGAGGGCATTTCCAGGGAGAAGTTGAATCAGAGAGTGGGCAGCAGTCCATGGAGTTAGAGAAGAAGGCAGCCATACATTTAGAGCGTTCCCTTTGCAATGTGACAGACAGGTTGGGGGCCATGGAAATGGCTGACCTATGCCCCCAACACCACCTGCAGGCCCCAGTAATGAAACTGGCTATTCAGTTGACAAATAAGAACCAGTATTCTTATGGTTCCAGGCATCTTCTTGGACTGCACAATATGAAGAGGCGGCAGCTGGTTCGGCTTGGGTATCGTGTGGTAGAGTTAACCCACTGGGAATGGCTCCCACTACTGAAACGAACTCGTTCAGAAAAACTGGCTTTCCTCCATGAGAAAGTATTTACCTCTGCACTTTGATGGACCTCCAGGGGCAGTTTTACTTGTACTTCCACTGTACCAAGTGCATGAAACAATTATGAAATCCAAAATGTAGGATTGGCAATAAAATTATGTCTTATAGGCACTTAGTTATGTTCTTGTCTGTAGTAGGTTGGAACCCAGTTTATGTAATTGAAAATTGTAACTTGGTTCGATACTACAAGTTGTTGCTAATTTATGCATGTTATTCTTAGGTAAATAATAAATATCTTAAGTTAGCAAAAGCATTTTTCTTAATCTGATTTGTAGTTATTGTGAGTTTTTCTAATAAAAGTGTAGTCAAACATTGTCTAGTCAAGTTTTAAAAGTGGTTTTCAGATGCTAGACTTTGAAGTCAGACTTTTCATCTTCACTTACATTTCATGGTTTTCCTTTTCCTGTGTGTGTTTTCTTCACACTATTAAGTTATTACTATACCCTATTTTTAAAAAAATTGTGGAAAGTATGACTACAAGGGGGCTTTACAATGTTCATGGAAAAGTTTTGTCTTTTACCTTTAATCCCATTTTCCCATGAGCTTTTTGAAACCCCCTTGGACAAGAAACATTTGCCATCTCAACATTTTTTTTCATGTACAATTCAATGACATTAATTACATTCATCATGTTGTAAAACCATTCTACTTCTCATTCTTGTATAGCTCTGGGTAGTTTGCCCTTAGTTTTTGGTTCTTCCTACTTTAATGAGCCATTTCAGAATTGTTACGCTGTTGTTAAGTGCCACTGAGTTGGTTCCCACTCCTAGCGACCCTGTATAGGGTTTCCAAGGTGGGTTTGAACCACTCACTTTGCAGTGTGCAGTCCAGTCCTACAGCAGCATACCAGGATTTCATTTCAGAATTAGTGAGCTAATCACCTTAGTTATCTAGTCCCATTTATACTTCTCCTATATACATTGTTTTCCTTGGAAATTTTTCTTCCTAAAAATGAGCCTATTATTATTAGTTGCCATCAAGTCAGTTTAGATGCATGGCTACCCCACATATGCAGAACAGAACTTCATAGGCTTCCAAGATGATTTTGTGTGGATTTGAACTGCCAGCCATTCAGTTAGTAGTTTAGTGCTTAACCAGGAACGCCTTTAAAATTGGACCTAAAAGAGTAGAATCATGTGAGTGCTCTTCACACCAAAGCCAAATCTATTGCCATCGAGTTGGTTCCTATTCTTAGTGTCCCTATAGAACTGCCTCGTAGAGTTTCCAAGGTTGTAAATCTTTAAAGAAGCAGACTGTCAAATCCGGAGCTGCTGACGGGTTGAAACCACTGGCCTTTTTGGTTAGTGGGTTAGTGTTTAACCATTGCACCACCTCCAGGACTAGGCCAGTGGTTTCAAACCTAGAAATTAGGATGTTCTTCATGGAAAGTAGCTCAGATCATCTAGCCTAAAAAACCACACTCACAGAAAAAGCCCACTGTCATAAAGACACACAGAAAGATGCCCATACAGAAAAATCACTGAAAAATTCTTGTATAAAAGGTAAGGTTAGGGTTTGGGTACAAATTTATTATTTTATATTATAAATATAAATAATTTTATATGTTTT